TGGGCCTTAGCCGCGACAAAATTGGATGTGGTAGACACTTGTACCAAGCTATTTAAAAATCCGTCAATAAACGATTGTTGTGTAAGTGGGGACGCACGGACGGATATACGGACACGAGCCTTAGCCGCGACACCATCGCCTTGATGTGGAAAAACATTTTTGCAAGCTATTTTAAAACCATTCAATGCATGACGAAGTTAAGTCCGGACATGACTGTGTATCATCAAACTCTTTCGAGAGATGAGTTCCTTCAAACTATAAGCGTGACCTCGACCTTGGAGATAGGAACATGGGTTTTGCACGCGACATGTCGTCTCGATGTGGTAGACATTTTTATGCTAAGTTATTTTAAAATATTTCGATGCATGACAGTCCGGACACAATGTTTGTACCTATAATCTCTTATTTGTGATAACGTGAAACTTCAAAAAGTTAGTATGACCTTGAATTTTTGGAAGAGGACGTGTTTTTTAGGCGCGACACAATGACTTCATGATGTAGACATTTATACCAAAGTTAGTTTCAAAATTTTTTCGATGCATGGCAAGGGTACAGTCCGAACCACGATTATGTAAACCTATTAACTTTAATTGTGATAATGTGAAACTTCAAAATGTTAGTGTGACCTTGACCTTTGAGGTAGGGACGTGATTTTGTAAACGCGTCACATCGTCTTGATGTGGTAAGATATTCATACCAAGCTATTTCAAAATCCCTCAATGTATCACAAAGTTACAAAACGGACACGAAAGAAGTTGGGACGCACAGACCAGACAGATTAAATTATATCGCCATGCGTCATGTAAATGTATACTATCCAAGCCACGCACCGACTGCCTTTGTTTTCCTTCAACTTAATAGTCGTATCAAACCCTTACGTAAGCCTTTATGGCCCTTCAGGCCTTTGATTTCGTGGACAATTACGACATACTGCCAATACATATTTTTTTCTTCTCTCAGGTTGGTGATCCAAGACCATAATGGCCTTTTGTTACTATATCATTACGGTTGATATTCATGTATGTATCTAATGTAAACACAAGCAGAAGACGAAATGAAATTTTAAAAAATACATGGTTCTTCCAGTCACAGTCATTTCGTCATTTTCGAAATGAAGGACAACCTAGTGCTCCACATCCATGGAATTTGAACTTATTGTTGGTGTTTAGACGTGTCGTTTTGAATCTAATGCATAGATAGGGAACATTTGAGCCTAAAGGCCTTTCAATATTTCACTTCTATTTCGACGTTATATTAAGCTTTTATAATATCCAACAATATACAGGGCCGTTACACAAAACAGTTTCTGACTTTTCCATTAATCGTGTCCCTTTATATATGTTTATGTACTTTTGTTCTGTAAATTAACATACGATACAATCTACATGTATTCACTTCTTATCTGAAATAGAAATAGATCAAAAACTATGACTATTCTTAAATTAAGATCATTTTTACATAGTAGATAAATTGTTCAATAACTTCACTATCATAACTTGTGCTGGTTTATATATGAAATAAACTGTCTAAAATTAATTTTGACATAGGTATCAAACATGGCGCTCCTTCGGTTCTTATTATTTTGCTGCATTATTTGCATTTTTGGAAGCTGAAAAATACAATATCTTCGTCCGTTAATGCAGACTTTTGACTCGACATTAAATGAGCCCAATGTCCACGATCTCCTAAAACGTATAGTTGATCTTGAGGAATACACCAAAAACAAGCCGGTTTGCTAGAAGAACTCAAACGAGATCATAGACAAGAAATGATAGACCTGAAGGAAGAGCTTTTAAATCAAAAGGATGAAAATGAAGCTTGGCGCGAAAAAAGTATTCAAAATGGTCGCCTGATTTCTCAACTGACGAGGCGAATAAAGATGTGCACTTGGAACTCCAGGCGTAAACATAGAGATGGAAAACCTGTATCGGGCAGATAATGGGGTTCAAAAATCGTCAAAAATGTCGGGTATTTTGGCTTTATACATTTATATCTTTTTTCTTCTATGACTGTATTCGGCATGTATTAAATATATAATTACTTAGTTTTAATAATGTTTTCGATTGGATTTTTTATTACATTCCTACTTTTTTCACTGTCTTTATACTTATTTCATACTATAAAATTCACCAGTTATTTAAATGTGTCACTATACGGACGTTGACATTAATTCATATTCTTTTTCAATAGATAGAAATCCGCAGCATAGCAAATGAAGCGGCTGTTGCATTTACTGCTGTCTTTCAAAAACAGCACAACATGTTGGTGCTCACCAGAACGTAGTATTCGACCACGTAGAAAACTAATATTGGAAATGGCTACCCCTCCTCATCATGGTGTATTTACTCCCCCCAGTGTCAGGTCTCTTATGTGTTCTTTACTTCCCCTGCTGGCTGATCACAATAGGGGAAGTTTTGGTGCAACCTGGTCGTTAATAATGTAGTCAAGACATCCGTGTACGCTCGCGGTAACAGACGGGGACATGACCAAGAAGTCAAATGATTGTTACACAACTTCAACAAGGAGATGATGTTGCTATTCAGAATTATGAAGTTGATGACGCAATATATGGAAGCACCTTTTTTTATTCAACGTTTAGCGGATTTCTCCTTCTTCAGAACGATGATGTCAATACCATTGTTGGCTAATTGTTTTGCCGCGTAGATGCCAATGAAATAGTAAAATTACACATTTGTCATATTTTAAAGTGTTACAAAAGGTTTATATGATATTGTTTTCATTTTTCCTTATATGCCCGAAAACATATTGGCTTATATAAATAAACAGATGGACGCCTATTACCAACGTGGTTGCTTTCTTATCTATTGCACCGATTGAAAAAAAGAAACTTCTTTGCAGAAATATAACAATAATAAGATGATATGGACAGCTTAGGTTTAGCGTCCTCATTTCATGCAAAAGTCAAACTTAGTCATTACATAATAATTGTACAGAACGCACATTAAAGCTTTCTCAGATGTGCAAATGTTAGTCTTAATAAGTGAGTAATGCGCAAGGCCTACAGGTCAAGGTCACACTTACATGCCAGCAGTAAATGAATCTTGCCCGACTCATAATTATGTTATGGCATAATACGGGATGATATTCGAGGTCAATGATGATTTTTAACACATTTATAAGCATTTCAAAACTTGTGTCTGTGCGAATTCGACATAGCGGGCATTTGAGTTCTACCACGAACAAATGTTTCTAAGCAAATACGTGCAGGTGTCCTCTGACTGTTCCTGTCGAATTGTTATGAAAAGTGTAGACTCAGATGATGGATTGAGTCTGTTCATTAATTTACAAGAGTAAAATCTCAGCAGGACTACAGATACAGGCGTAAGCGGTATTAAATCTTTAAAATAAAGAAAAATAGAATGCATAAAGGAAGCCCAAAACAGCAAAATTGAAAACGTTGCAGGCCCGGTTTGTTTGAGCCTGTTCATGGAAGGTACTGAAAAGTTACGGTCCACGGTCCACACCCCCCTTCCCCAGCACCGACTTAAGCAGAATTCACCAGTTAAAATGGTAACAAATTTGAATTTAGAACATCCGCAGATATGTTCATACGGCGGTTATCGTGGAACCTTCAATTTGACACGTTAGTACTAATCCATGAAAGCGGCGTATGGTCTCCAAGTAAAAGAATGCGTGTGACCTTCACGAGAAAACAATGGGCGTAACTAAAGAAAATGAAAATCTGATAGGGGATCTGAGGTTATGAAGTCTGCATATGACAGACAAAACTAACATGTTTTAACACTTGTTTAAGTCAATGATTTCGACAAACCAGAAACATGCAACAACAAATGTAGCGGTGTGAAATCTTAAAAAGGTAGAACAATATTTCTGTAATGCCTGAGTTTTACATGTTTATGTAAAAATCTGTTTAGTAGGTTATTATCCTATCCGACAGGAAACAATTTTTTCCTGTAAAAAAAGTAAACAAAATATTGATGTTTAATTATTTTTCAATATTTATACTATCCTTCTTATTGTTATTTTGAATGTTTTGAAAGAAGTAGTTATCAGTTCTTAACACCTTTGTCTTTGCTTGCTTTTCATATAAGAATATTATTTGTTCACTAACAAATGAATATCATTGTATATCAATTATCGAAGCTTTGATGGGTTGTTTTTTATTCCCTGTCTTAAATGGTGTGAAAAATACCTGTCAAATGAAAACTTAAAACACTGTTAAAATATTGATAATACAGCAGGCCATAAAAATATCTTGAATATCAGATAAAAAGTTGACGTTTGAAGTTCATTTAAGAATAATCATAGAATACACTATTTTACAGTAGCAATACATTTGAAGTAAGAAAAATTAATTATACAGTTAACCTTAGATAACATAACCATTCATGATAAAAAACGGAACATACTATAGAAAGTGCTAATATACCGTCGTATAGTTACACCTTTTCAACAAAATATTACATTTGCCTTTTAAATGGAAAATATTAACTTTCAAAAAAATATCTGTTCATCTGTTTATAAACTTTTGTTATAGCACTTCTAAATATTACATTATACATACTTATACAAATAGAAAACAAGCAAAGTTTCACGCGTGAAACACTTATCAAGATATATTCAATACTACCGCTGACTTAGAACATATAACATATGTATTATATAACATACCCAATGCTTATATGTATCGAACAGCTGAAGACAAAACATACATATTAAGAGTAAGAATATTGAGCATACTTATGTTTGCACAAACTGCAAGCTAGTTCGATAGAAAGAGATTTTAATGGATAAATTTAACATTATTTCAATTATATCATACCATACATCACGGAAAAGGTAAAACAGATTGAAATAGTAATTTTTCTAACAATTTAAAGCTTATGAATAATATATCCATTTAAATGAAGTCGGAAGGTTAGTCGGATTTTTGTCTATCGATGACTCAATAAATTCAGACAATTTAACTTACAAATAACTGTTCCATTTTCATCACTATCTCAAAACGACCTACTTTTTATCTAAAGTTCGTCAGTTTGGTATTCATTTCAAATAGATAAGATAGTCATTACATATGAAAATCAACATGTTTCTCTTTCATTGCCTGTTGTTTGCTGTAATTTGTGCTGTTTTGGAGGCTGAACATTTGGGACCTTCATCAGATTATGAGTCAACATCGGACGAGTTAAATGATGTCCAAGGTCTTCTGAAACGCTTAGTTGCCTTTGAGGATTATATCAAGACACAGGATCAATTACATAGGCAAGAAATAGATGACCTACAAAAACAGCTTTCCGGACAAAAAGATGAGATCTCATATTTAAGTAAGAAAGGCATTCAACAAGATCGACTGATTTCTCAACTGACGAGACGTATAAAGTTTCAAGAAAATAATTGGGACACGAGTTCCCAAACACAAGAAGACGAAAAACATGCAAATGCAATGAATCTCGCATCATCGGGAAATTCAGGTACCTAAAGTAGCTGTTTAGGTTTTTCTTTTCTTCACCTGTCCAAGATTTTAAATGCTTTTCTTTTAAAAAAAAACATTTTCTGAATCACTAGAAATTATTTCGCGCTTTGTAAGTTAGCGCTTTTTTGCGGTAGAAACATATCCGCAAAAGTTTGTATCCACGAAAACATTTGACATATACACTCTTGGTGTTATTAAAGAATAAGAGTTCGATTGTAAGTGTGCGTTAATAAAGCCAACTCGGGATTATCTCAGAAAGCTTGCCAATCAAGTGAAAAAGCACTATTAAGTGTTGAGAATTGAGTACCGCTCAATGGAGTACCGCTCAAGCCGGTGCTAGGGGCGTGAGGGATGTTGCACGTATTCATATTCCCTCATGTACAGACTCAATCAAACCGAGTCTGCAATTCTCTTGTAATTTTTTTGTGATTAATGCTTCCGAGGGATCACTTTGTTTCCAGATTTTTAAATGAAAAAAGGAATACCCAGTTATATTTTCCCATTTATCTTTTAATAATATTAAACAACTGCGGTCTGTGAACGTCGCTTAACCTTGATAATCTTTGTTCTCATTTATTGTTATCGTGAATTATGTCAATTAAAATTTTATTTTGCAGGAGATAGAATCCGCAGAGCAGAAAATGAGGTGACTGTTGCATTTACGGCTGGTCTTACAAAACGTGCACTTCATGTAGGTGCCCATCAAAACATAGTGTTTGACCACGTGGAAACAAATGTTGGAAACGGTTACAATCCTCATCACGGCGTGTTCACTGCACCAGTTCCTGGACTCTATGTGTTCTATACATCTGTCCTAGCTGACAACGATCGTGAGGTTTGGTGTGAGTTGATCGTAAATGGAGCAATCAAAGCATCAGTGTATGCACGTGGTACAGATGGCCGACATGACCAAGGTAGCCAAGCCTTAGTTATTCAGCTTAAGCAAGGGGATGATATCGCTGTGCAAAATGTTGCTGCTGACGATGCCATTTATGGCGATCCGACCATTTATTCCACTTTTACCGGATTTCTGCTCCAGCAAAATTTTTCGGAAGCAGGAAATGTTGTTGGTTAAATGTTCTGGTTTAACTCAGAAAAACATCAAGAAATTAAAACACATAGATTGTATAACAGTAACAAGTAATCAAAATGAAGGAATTGAGGTTTTTTTATAATGTACGTGTATATGACAAATGAAAACGTTTTATTGTAATTCTGCGGTCTCCATTTGAAATCGATATAACAAGTTCATTGTTTTTTCTTGTGCAGCGCCAGAGCTATTATATTTTAAAGACAATTAATTCAGATATCATCTAATAGTAAGAAGTAATAACATTTGAAAACATATAAAAACTCTTGCAAATTTATTGATCATTACTTAAAATAATCTTTACAATTAGGAAATATTTTGCTGCTTCAGTATGTAGCTAGTGTATCATCGAATGTTAAAAATCCCGCTAGAAAAAAGTAATTTTAAACTAAATGATAGCAACACATTCTTAAAACAGCAAAGGAGTTAAATTGTTCGGCCTTCGAATGAAAAAGTTTCAAAATCCTTAAAAAAGACCCAAATATATTCTTTCAATGTCTGAGATGTTCCTCCGTGGAGTTACAAATATGCAGAAGTGAACATTTAAAAATAAATCAAAATTCAAATACGAACATGACGGTTTAATCCAAATTTATACTGACGGCCTAAATTTATGTGCATCTGTCCAAGAAAACAACGGTAGTTTACCTTTACAGTACCGTAGTATGAACAGGCTCAATCAAACCGTGCCTGCAACATTTTCAATTTTGACCTTTTGTGACTTCTTTAGAGATTCTTTATTTCTTTTTATTCTTAGATGTCGAATTAGACATACTGGTGTTACACATTCTTATCTTCTTAACAGAAGACGATGCTCTATTTTGTAAATTTTGCAATGATTATATCACTGTCAAATATTTCCTTCCTGATATTGCAAAGATTCTAGATAACTTTTTTTGGTAATTTTTGAGAAAACATTTTGCCTCAGTTCCATCGAAAACCCTGATCGATTACTTAAAAGAAGTAAACATGTGTTCCAAGATTTCGCTAACTCACCTGTACCAATTCATTTCGGCCGGTGCAGTATGGCCATTGAAGTGTCGCCATTAAACCCAAACAAACAAATACGTCTCTGCCCGTTTGCCTCAAAAATAGTTTTTGTAAGAAGTCCTTTTCTCAACAATTGATGATTTAAATTTCGAAATGAATTCGTTAAATGTTGATATGATGTCAACTGATGTCTGAAAAGCACCTATTGGTCATCTATTATGTTTGAATGATACTGTAATGGGAAACAAATAATTGTCAACATACTTTAAAAGTATGTAATTTTCAGAAAATTACATTTTTATTGACACTATTTTAAGATAGATATAAACGATAAGATATCAATGAATAAAATTATCGATTTTGGTCAACCAAACAATACTGCAAAAGGTCAACACTACAAATATAATTATCATACTAGCTACTTAGGTGTTTGAACTTATACATTGTCTGAGTTGTGTATGTAGAACAGCTGTAAACGATATTCTGTTCTGCTTCACAAACAGTATTTGATACTTAATTGTTGGTTTGTTTGTGCAAATCGTCTTATTCTAGGTTTTCTGTTATTAGTGTTGTTACTTTTTGTGAGTAAGTTCTGTTGTGTACAATTTAGAATTATCATAGAAAGTCAGATCCTAAAGGAATTATATAGATAGTATAACCATTTAAATAAAATAACGAAACAGGCAACAGAAGTAACTAATATATCGTCGTACAGATACCCCTTTTTATACATATATGTCATTTGCCTTTTTAACTTTCAACGTAAAGTACTGTTAATACATAATTATATAGAAGGGTTGTTCACAAAGTTTGTGAATTTTCGTAAAACATTTCTAAAAAAGACATCATGCTTGTACAAATAGAAAATGAGTACAGTGTCAGCATAAAGTGTAAAAGTATAGTTACGAGCTAAACGCAACAGAGAAGATAACGCAGCATCAAAGTTCAATTTTAAAAACAGTTATTTACACTTATACAAAATTTTGAAATTATAGTTTAACTCGCACTCCGAAATTCAATTTTTCACAACTCAAATTTAATCATTGTCCTAAAGTTTAATTCACAGTTCGAAATTCAATTATTCAACACTCAAATTTAACCAATGTCCACAGCAGAATACCACAATATGTCCACAACACTTCCTACACAAAATACAGAATTCAAACTAATATATTAAAAAAAAATTCGACTTCACAAATTCACGATTTCAATTTCACGAATTCACGATTTAAACTTCATGAATTCACGATTTCAACTTCATGAATTAACGATGAAATCGTGAATTCATGAAGTTGAAATGTCCCCACCGGTCTTTCGTAAGACCTCGAGATTATCAGTGCTGGCTCTACTGAGCGATACTAAACACATTTATAATGAAGCCTATATACGAGTACATAACACGATAACCAAAATACATTCAATATAGTAGCTGAATTAGAAAATATAACACAAGTATGACATGAACTTATATATATCAAACAACTCAAGACAAAAGGCGTTTACAAACATATTTAGATTAAGAATACGAAGCACACTCATGCCTTCATACGCTGAAAGCTAGTATGATAAAAACAGAGATTTTAATGGATAAAATTGATTTTAATTCAATATCATGCCATATACCACGTGAAAGGAAAAACAAGAATCTTTTAAAATAGTAATTTGTTTTACCATTTGAAACACTTATTAAGAGCATGTCTATTTGAATGAAGTCTGAATCTAAGTCAGTGTTTGTCATAAATGCAGGCATAAAACTAAGAAAAAAACTGTTCCACTTTCTTCACTATCACAAAACAACCTACAGTGTATATAAAGCACACTTTTCCTATAGATAAAATATTCATAACGTAAGGAAACTAAAATGTATCTCTTTCGGTGTCTGTTGTTTGCTGTAATATGTGCTTTTTTGGAGGCTGGAAATTTGACACATTCATCAGACACGTTTGACTATGAATCAAGATTGGATGGGTTAAATTATGTCCAAGACCTTCTTAAACGCTTAGTTGCTCTTGGGAATTACAACAGGTTACAGGCTATAGGGTAGGAGGATAGAATAGGGGCGTGAGGGATGTTGCACGTATTCATTATTCCTCATGTACAGACTCAATCAAACCGAGTCTGCAATTCTCTTGTAATTTTGTTTTGATTAATGCTTCCGAGGGATCACTTTATTTCCAGATTTTCATTACATAGACAAGAAATAGATAACCTTAAAGAACAGCTTTCTAGACAAAATGTGATCTCGTATTCAAGCAAGAAAGTTTTTCAACAAGATCGTCTGATTTCTTAACTGTCGAGACGTTTGAAGTTTTAAGGAAAAAGGAAATAAAATTGGACACAAAAAGATGAAAAAACATTTAAAAGCGAAGAATGTGATTGAGACATGATCAAGAAATTCAGGTACCTAAAATTGTTTTCATCCTATTCTTTACATGTCCAAGATTTTTTTAAATATTTATCTCTTTTACACCAGAAAAGGATAAAATAGGAGTTAGATTTAAAGTGTACGCTAATAAAGCCACCCGGGATTATCTCAGAAAGCATGTCGTTCGTGAGAAAAAGCTTTATAATTAAACAAGGATTAAGCAATACCTAGATACAATTGCTCACGTTCTATACATACCATTCGTGACAACAATCGTGAAGTTTGGTGTGAGTTGATCGTAAATGGAGCAATCATAGCATCAGTATATGCACGTGGTACAGATGGCCGACATGAGCAAGGTAGTCAGGCCTTAGTTATTCAGCTTAAGCAAGGAGATGATATCGCTGTGCAAAATGTTGCTGCTGACGATGCCATTTATGGCGATCCGACCATTTATTGAACTTTTACCGGATTTCTGCTCCATCAAGATTTTTCGGAAGCAGAAAATGTTTTTGGTTAAATTAATTAAAATGCCGCCTTTCCATTTGCATCTTGTTTTTCATATTTGTGTAAAGAAGTGTGGAATGAAAAATATCAAGAAATAAAAACAAATAGATTGTATATTTGTAGGTTGTAATCAAAATGAATGAACTGAGGGTTTTTAATGTACTTGTATATGACAAATGAAAATGAGTTTGCAGTTCTGTATAGCGGTCTCCATTTGGAATAGATATAACGAGGACAGTTTTCTCTTGTGCAGAGCTATTACATTTTAAATATAATAAATTCAGATATCATTTGTTAAAAAGAAGTAATAGCATTTGATTTTATCTTTACTAAAGGCATTGTTATGAAAACTCGCGCAAAATTTATTGATAATTACTGAGAATAATCTGTACACTTAAGATACATCTCGCTTTAGTATGCATCTAGAGTATCATCCAAAGGTACAAGTATCGCGAGAGAAGTAATTTCATACTTAATTTTAGCGACACGTTCTTAGACAAACTAGAAAAGTAATTTGTTGTTGTTCTTTTTGTTGTTGTTTTTCTTTTTTTGTTGTTGTTAATAATGATATTTTTTTGCAATATAGCAATATTGATTTT